AATTATGAAATTATGAAAAATAAATAAAAGGTACTCAAATTGACATAAAACTACCTTTATGGATAACTCAATCCTATATATACAAATCCCGAAGACTCCACAGTAAAAACAACTAGAGCTAATAAGCAAATTCAACAAGATGGTGGGTAAAGATCAACACACAAAAACCAGTTGAATCTATACACACAACAGTAAGGAACAATCTGAAAAGAAAATATTTATTTAAATTCAACTTACAATAGCATTCAGAAGACTAGAATACCTAGAAATAAATTTAACCCAGGAGGAAAAAGACTCATTTACTGAAAACCCCAAAACATTGCTAAAAGAAATCAAAGAAGATGGATACAGATAGAAAGAAATCCTGTATTCCAACAGATTGAAAGACTTAACACTTGTACAGATTCAGTGCAATTCTGATCAAACTGCCAGCTGCCTTTTATTTTTTTTACAGAAATGGAAAAGCTTAAATTTAGATAAAATTGCAAAGGACCCTAAATTATTGTTGAAATAATATTGAAGAAGAAGAAAAAATTCTCAGAGGGGTTCATAAATTTTAAAAAGCTAGGAGTCAGTGCATTAGAAAGCAAGAAAGTCATATCACCATTATCCACTAAAAATATAGCTTAGAATTTGGCTAGCCTTGCACTCCACTGCATTTTGCACTAAACTAGGAGATACCTTAAAGTGAAGTAGAAAATACTTTCATAATACCTTCGAGGTAACAATACTGTAAATAACTCAAAAAAAATTTAAAGTTACACATTTTCATATCTGTAATTCAACAATAGGATATTATATGACTTGCTTCCCTTAACCAAACCAAGATATATATCTTTCTCATATATGTGTCTATTCCAAAGTAAACAAGGTTATCCTTTAGGTTTCAAAATATTCATGTAACTCTCAATCAAAGCAATAAATCAATGATCCCAGCTGCTTTCACAGCACTCAAGTATGTATGGCATACACAGAGACAAGTGATGTTGATACAGCCTAGATGTCCTACAGCCAACCCTTCAGAGAACGGCTGAACTCCTACTGGCTGTGTCCTTGAGCAAATCACTTCGTTTATATAAGTCATAGTTCCTTCCATCTGAAACCACCCTTCAATTTGGAGCCAATCTAAGTGACTCAAAAGAAACTAAAAAATACCTGTGGGTTTGTGGTCTCATCAAAACGAATGGTCAAAACTCAACTAGAGTCTGCTGATGCAGTACCTGGACACATAAGTTTTGAAAAATGATACTACAGGTCTGCTGCTTCTCCATTTTAAAAAGAGTGAATGGGTGAGAAGTCAGATGCCATAATGGAAGACAAGATTTGGCTTAGGAAAGTCCAAGATTAAAATCCTGGCTTTACTCTTACTGGCTTTGTCCTCAAGAAAACAACGTAATGTATGTAAGTCTTAGTTTCCTCCATCTGTAAAATGGGGATTGCAATATCCACCTTACAGATACAGCAAACCAATGATTTTGGCACCTGGGGCAAACTATACAAAACCAGCTCTCAAATCAATTCTGCAATTCATAATGTGGCACACAGATGGGTGTTACTAACAATGCTCACCATCTGCTAGCTTCCTGTTTTAAATAATTATTCTTGCTAAGTAGGTGCCAACTTTTAGAATCATTATATTAGATGTTTGCACCCTCTAAATTTTGATATCCTTAGACAAAGCCTAGTATGACTGGCCATAGCTGAGCTCTTAGGAGGTTATTCTGAAGATTCAAAATAACGTAAGTAAAAAATATTGTGCAGTGATAGGGATATGACGGATACTAAGTCGTTATTATTTAACCATTTCATAATACCTTTATGTAATCCATTTGCCATTCCAATAAGACTACCCTGAGATAAAGATTAATCCTATCAGCCACTTCCAATAATATATAAACAAGATAGGAATAAAAGTATAAGTACTATAATACTGTCTTCAAAGACTTAAGTTGATTTCTTCAACCTTGACCTTTGGATCTTCTCTCAAATCCACAAAGACCTGAGAATTTAGAAGAGGAGATGGCACCTTCATTACAAGAAGCATTTCTAGACTAAGGGAAGAAGTAAACTGTCAAGTTCAAAAGAGAATTCAGGGGCTGGGGACTTAGCTCAGCGGCAAAAGCACCTGCCTGGCAAGTGCAAGGTCGTGAGTTCGGTTCCCGGTACCGGAGAAAAACCAAAACAAAAAAACAAAAAAAAAACAAACAAACAAAAAAAAGAGAATTCAGAGTTAACCCTAGCAGGGCATGCCTTTCTGAGCAGGTGGGCACAGAGAACTGTTGCTATTGTGTTTTGCACTGAAGCTCAGCTGCACAAACACCGGCGAAGTCAGAAAAACATCGAGCCACCTTCATAGACCTACTAACAATCAGATAAGCTCCTTTATCAAGAATAGTTGAGCAATAAAATAACACAAGTTTCCAACCCATGACAATCTCTATATAAAGTGTTCCTACTTAGCTCCAAAAAATTATTTTCTCTAGATTATCAGACATCCAGAAATAATTATTTATTATAAAGTATGCAAATCGACCTGTCACAAGAACAACTGTCAAGAGAGTTAAATTAAAACCATTTATATGTATTATCGATTCTAATGATGTTTCACCAACAATTTTGTCACACTAGGATAAACTTTCCCCAAGGAAGCACCTTTGCTGACCCTACCTGTCAAATCAAGCTCACAAGCTAGCACCCGAAACTCTCCCACAAGTGAGAGGAACTGGCACGTGTCTGTCGGGCGGTGCCTGGGGTACTCTTACGCGGAATCCAGACTGGAAACACAACTCTGACTTCACATGTTACACACAGTCAAGTGCACAACCACCGGGACTGAAACGCTCTTTTATATGTTGTCAAAAAATTAAGTCTGAAGATAACGGATAAGTTTCCCAAAAACCAGGGAGAAAAAAGTTAGAATTTTATGACTGTGGTTCATATACTTTATCTGAATAAAACTGACCACACTATGAATAAGCAATGAAAGACTAAACATAATAAATCAGTTATTAACTTTCTGGATTCAACGGCACATTAACAACAAAACCCAGTCTAGAGCAGGAATGGGTATTGCAGTTCCAGAAGGACAGATGCGCATTAAATAGGAGAACGTGTTTAAATGATTAACACTCCTTAAGACAGAAGTCTAGTAGGTTTAGTATCAAGCTCCAGTGGAAAAATAATTCACCAAAAATAATCAGCTAAAGAACTAAATGAAGTATTTTTTGTTATTTGCTGATGTGCATCTATAGTTTTCATTGTGAAGCTACAATTTTTATTTTTTTGGTGCCCTCAAGTGGTCACATTATGAAGTGTTCCAAGATTAAATGCGACTAACTTTTAGACAGAAAGATAACCTAGCAACGTGTTTTGCATATGTCCATTAAACACCAGTGAAACTTTAGCATATAATTATCTGGAAAAGGGAAATCCGAGAAGATTTTTTGCAACTGCTCCTCTTTTTAAACTTCCAAACCAAGGTAAGAGTTAAGGCAAAGAATAAAAGTGAGTGGAAGTTTAAGACCAGAATGCTCCACTAGCAAACAAACACCTCAGCAGACTATGGAGCTATTTCAAAAGCAAAATTAGTGTGAAAACCAGGAGAACAAGTAACTTCACTATTAGATTCCCAATTAGACACCTTACAATTCATAGCTAAAATTACATACATAAAGTTTAATAGGAAATGAATATTGCAATCAATTATTTGAAACTGTGTTAACAGATTCCAAATGACTATATATCAGCAACTTCAGTAAGACAATAATTACAAATCAAAAAAAAAACAAGATTCCACAGAAAGCATTCAAAGCTTCTAATCCCCAGATCCACTGAAATACTTGTAGATAGCAATTGTGAAATCTCAATTTCCAGCTGAAGATGGCAAATTGAACACATTCATCTAGCTGCACCTCACCTGAAGCTCTACTAATATGGGAGCAAAGAATGTGTTGAAGGCAGAACCCCACAAAAGCAAAGACACTGAGAGAGAAGACAGCAGCAGGAAAATTTTAGAAGCTAGAATGTACACGGACAAGCAGTAGCTTAACAGGAAACTCAAGAAGCTGACTGACTTACACAGCACAGTAGGTAGCTATGAACACAGGAGAGAAAGCTAGAAAGAGGAGACTTGATCAATAGGCTGGTTAAGAAGCAGTTCACACACACTCCCTATTCCACAGCCTGGTACACATTCTTACACTACCACACTGCAAGACTTAAGTTTATGCTTAGGAAGAATAAAGTAGAAGGCTGCATACAGGCTGACAGCACAGTGAGAGGGAGTACCGCAGTAACACGTGTTAGTAAAACAGGAGACTGTGGTAATTTGAATGGCGATGACAAATCAAAGACCACAGAACAACAATGGAAAGGACGGTCTTTCTGGAAAGAAAAGCACTGGAAGAAAGTCACATCAGCCTCTGATTAATGTGTCCAAAAACGTCACATAGCTAACCACAGCATGCTTCATTCAAAAAAAAAAAAAACCAAAAGATGATACTTGAAAAAAATTCTACCTTTTGACAGTGAGTTGCATTTAGCCCTGGATGTTCCATATCATCTAAATTAATTAGGTGAGAATTTACTGCAACTAACGAAGAACACTGGTGGGCAAGCACAAGAACATTTTATACTCCTAGTTTAAAAAGCCCATTTCATTTTCTCTCGTTCAGCTGTGGAGAGCAAAAGCACTAGAGACCCTGTGTCAGCACTCCTGGTGAACAACACAGGCATGTCAGGAAAGACAGGGAGTTACTTACTTGTACAAGAGACTTGGAAACTTACTAATATTTTAAGAAGAATCCCACTCTGTAGATCACCTGATCAAAGTATTGAGTTCAACACCTCTGATAATAATGTCATTTAAGATTTAGTAATTTCTCATTTTCAGTCTTGTTTCAATACAGGATTATGAAGAAGATATAGTTCCATATTCATACTTTTTTGCAGATACCAACTTCAGAACACATCACAACACAGGAATAGAGGTAGCACTGTACCTTGAACACCTTCCAGGAGTAAGTCAACGCCCTTCCTATAAAAATCAGACGCAGCTTCGTAGTCGTCTTCCTCTTCCTTTTTCAAGGCCAGTTTTATTAATTCTCCCGCTTTCTCCAAATAATCTCTCTTGCCAAGTTTAGGTTTTAAACTGCCAGGAAAGAGGCTCCGACTTTCCCGTTCTTCTGTTTTGCTCTGTTCACTGTCAGAGGCAACAGCCCCTAGTGCTGAAGAATCCGAAGGAAGACTGAGACCAAAAGTTCTAACGGGAGAATTTCGATTGGAAGCCATTCCATCGTCTAACTCGGCAAGAGAATCCACATCAACAGTAAGAGATATCAGGTCACTGTCACTGGAGAAACCTAGAAATAGGACCACCATAGTAAACGTATTAAATTCAGCATCAGCCCCAAGGACAGAAATCACACTACTCATTTTTTCATACTGTCCGACTCAATTAGGAAGGCTATAATGTACTGATGGAAGTCAGTGTCCAGCTTTAAAGGAGGAATAAAGTTAATGTATTTAAGGTACAATAGACTATCATGAAATTACAACTAGAAGACAATTCTGTAATAATTAAATAATATTTAAATAATGCATCTCCAGAGGTGAGCCTTTAGTTAACCATCCATATCTGGAAAATGTATGTTATTGAGGTTTTTTTTAAGGATTAAATGTTTAGAAAGTTTTGTTTCAGCCTCTTTCACAGGATTTTGGAGAGAACTTTGGACTACACTGAACTCTTCAGTTTTCAGACAGAAAATGAAGAGTAGGTTTTAAAGAACCATTTAGCAGTGAAAATTACTTCTCCTGTTTCATATAACTGACTTCATGGTGGATAAACACAATCTATAATAACAGATGGCAAATCATGTGGTCTCAGGACCACTCTTCACATTCTTAAAAATGATTTAGGACCTCAGACAGCTTTTGTGCATGTGGATTACACCTGTAAATATCTACCAATATTATACTGATTTAAGAACGTGAGACTAAGTAAAACATTCAGAAGCATTGCACATTAACATAAATTTTATGAAAAATAACTATATTTGCCAAAACAGAAACAAATTGTTGAGAGAAGTAGCACTCTTCACATTTTTGCAAATCACGCTAATGTCTGGCTTAGACTATGACTAGATTCTCGTATCCCATTGGACAACATGTCATCACATGTTATTTTGGTCAAAAGACAGGAAGAAAATGTCACAAGGATATATAAATGAAAAGCTAAGTGTTTTTGTAGCCTTTGCAGGTAACTGTGGATATTCTTCTTTGATACTACACCAAAAATTCACAAGAAACAGCTTCTTAAAGCTAGTTGCAATATGGAATATAAAATCCTATTAATGAAATTTCTATTTCTGTTACAGCTAAACCCACTAGTCTGTCTTGTACTCCGAATGGATCTACTACTCAAGCTTGAGTGTGTAACACACGGGTCATTTTAAAAGTATCAGTTCCCTGAACTACCCAGATCTTCCAAATGTTGACACCACATTTCATTATTACCATATCCAAAAAAAATCACATTTCTTGAAAATATAACCAATCTCATCAGAAAATTCTTTACATACTGGGAAACTGTTAAACTCAAAGTAGAAGTCATCCAAAATTCCTCCTGTGGGGCTGAGGAATTGCTCCTGCCTTCATGGGCAACAAATACTGTCAGGTGTTTTCCTTAAAGTGTCCACTACCTTCAGTCACTTTCAGGAAGAATAAAGTGTCAAATACCCAAGTTTGAGTAACAACAGTGTCAACTGTTTGAGCAAAATAGTGTCCCATGAAAAAAGCAGCCAGTTCCACACGGGACTCCGACCACGGTCTCCAAATGAGCCAACCATGGTAGTGCAGGTGTGCAGACTGCTTTATGTAGACTTTCAATTCATCACACAGAATGTTAAACAGACATGTATCCGAAGGAGGACATTTGATAAACTACCAGCCTTTACCTGCTTTGCCAAGGCCGTTCTGAGGAGGAATTAGCACTGGCTTTGCTAAGCATGGCAGTGCTTGCTGCTATCATTTGGGGTCACTGTCCTGACCCCTAAGGACAGCAGTTTTACTCCAACAGCTTTTGCATGATAAGTGCAAAGGTGACAGGGTGAGAAGGCAGGGGATGGCCTACTACCATTACCAAAACAGTTTCTGCCCTCTGGTCCCCCTGAAAAGAGCTCAGGAGCACCCAGGGGTCTGAAAACCACACTCACATAAGTTAAGATTCACAATCCAGTTACATAAGAAACCAGTTGGGAAAAAAAAAAAAAAAAGAAACCAGTTGGGGAACAACTACAGCCATGAGACTGAGTCACACGGACCATTAACTGCCAAGTTTCTCAGAAAAGAAAATGATTTCCTCAGGGCTAAATACTGACTCAAAATTGATGGTGGATTAGACTACAGGACCCTGTGATCCTAAGATCAGGGATTAGCAAACGTTTTTCTATAAAGAGCCAGAGCATAAACACGCGAGGCTCTGTCAGCCACATGGTGTCTGTCACAGCTACTCAACTCTGCCGAGGAAGCACAAAAGCAGCCGGAAGACAATAGGTAAATGGAAAAGCGTGGCTTATTTCAATAAGACTTTATTTATGGACACTGAAACTTTAATTCCATATCATTTTCACATCATAATATAATATGCGTGGGGGGGGGGAATTCACCATTGCAAGAATGTGAAAACCGCCCTTAGCACACAGGCCATCCGAAAACAGGTGGCTGCCAGATTTGGTCCCTGGGCCGCGGTCTGCCAACCTCTATTACAAACCCAAACTGCTTACTTCACATCAAATCGGGTAACTTAGAGCAAAAACCCGTCACTGGCAGCTAAGCTCAATTTCCCCGTCAGCTTTAGACAGTACTTTGGCACCCTGTCAAGATATCCTTATTTTCACGTTTTTTCAAGTCCTTAGAATCCCCATGAAGAACTGATTCTCTTCCCCACAACCAAGAGATTTCACGAACCCCATAATCTCGACCGGGGTTCCCAGGACCTAGGGGACATCGTTTCAGCTGCCTGCACTTCAGCCTGCAGGGAGTACTTCACACCCAGAATCTGTTACAGCAGCCTCAAAAGTTATTTATCCATTATTCTGAGAAATATGGGAAACTTTTTAAGAGATTTTTAAAATATTTTAGGTATTTCAATGCAAATTTGGTTCTTACAATGTACGGTCATATAATGTAGTACACTGAAATTAATAAACAATTTAGCTAAGAAAAAAGTTCTGGTTTATACAGCTAATCACAAAAGAAAGGAAATGCTGTCTACACATCCATTGTCTGCTCTCCGGTGTCTTGTCACTGTAACCTTCACACCATCTATCACATTGTTCTGTTCCATGCTGTGCCTGATTCTCCTTTCTAACAAGAACAATATACCAAAGGGCAAAGGGGTAGAGCTATGTGTACTCAGTTTCTTGGCTTTTGACCACAAAAACCTAGGAACACAGTCACACTTCCTTTTACCTTTGCAACCTTATTTTATTAGCAAAGAGAATCATAATTAAATGAAATTATATCAGAGAAGTATGACCGTCAAATCATCTAGGGAGAAAGAATGTGAAATTAAGTAAATAAATGTTCTATACAAAATGCTTCCTTTTCAAATTCTACCTAATTTCTAAATGAAGACTCTTTACAAGCAAGCAAACAACAACAAAAAAGAATGCAAGCAGGTCAGGAAGAGGCACATTCTTGCCAAACTGGGAGAAACAAAAGGAAAAAAGACTTTGGTTAATCTTTTTGGACAACAATTTGGCAATGTAGATCAAAAGCACAAATACTACTTTTATCTCTAGCCTGGAAATTCAGCATTTATACCAAAATCAATCAGAGATATGCAAAAAGATCTGCGTACAAGAATGTCCACCAAAAAATGTGAAACTCTGCAGATAGCATAAATTTCTAACAATAGATAATTACGGCACCTCCCTATGACAAAATGTTATACAGCCATTAAAAATCATATTATGGGAGAATGCTTAAGGTATTCATGATATATCACAATGCAAATAGTATTATATCACAATTCTAATTTTAAAACACAAACACACATGGGGGAAAGAAGCTTAAAGTATAGACTAAGTATTAATAGTAATCTTCTCTGTTTGGTAAGGTTATAGGTGACTCTGTAATACGAATTTCACAACATTCTTTGTGTGCAGTAAGCCCTTAAGCTCCATATCTGAAAAATATCAAAGGAAATGCTACAAGGACTAAAACTGGGAGATTGCTTGAGAATAAAGTTATAAGTATTACTAAAGACACCTCCTTGGCCATACCACAACTAATCATTTTCCAATATGTGCTGATGCCTTTTTTCTCAATTCCTTTTCAATGAAGTATTCTGCAAAGGGCTCATGGAAGGTTTTGTTTTGTTTTATTTTGTTTTGTTTTGTTTTCTTCCTTTTGGTGCTGGGGATCAAACACAGGGCCTCACACACGCTAGGCATGCACTCTGCAACTGAGCTTGGCTACACCCACAGCCTCAAAATGATATCTCGCTATGTCTGGGAATGAAATGTCCACAAAGGCCTGTGTACTAATGGCTTGGTCCCCTACCTATGGCGCTACTGGGAGGTGGTGGAAAGAAATTAAGTCAATAACGGCCTGCCACTGAAGGGGACAGGAGGTCTTGGCCCCTTCCCCTCTTTCTGTACCTCCTGGCTGCCCTGAGGTGAGTGGTTTCCTCTGCCACCTGCTCCCACCATGATGTTCTATCTCACTGCAGGCCCAAAAGCCAAAGCCACTGGACCACGCACTGTAACCTCTGAAACCGTGAGCCACAAAACTAACTCATTTTAAAATTGCTTTCACCTCTACAGCAATGAGCCCCATTTCTGACACTTAAATACCCAAACCTAATTTATCTTATATACTTAATACACTTGCTTAATACAGTGGTCCTAGAAATCATGGTCCTACAATTCAACTTGTTTTACTCAAAACAACTTATAAATATTATATGAGGTGAAAACTAAAACCCAGAAAGTTCTGAGAGACACATAGGACCCAAGTTCTCAGTTCAGGTAAGCACGCGGAGTCCTGTGGATAAGGCAGGCAAGGCACTACTGATACCTGACATGAGACAGAGACTCTGCCCAAAGTTAAGCCAACCTGAAGTCAGTACATCCTTACAGAGGCCCTCTAGGTTGTCACAAGAGTAAAAGGTGCAGCCTTCACCAGCACCATCAAGTCAAACACCTGAAGCTTTTTTGGAAGTGATACAAGGGGAAAGTCAGAGGTTCTATGAAAGCACTCTGCCTCCAGGTTCATATCACAGAGATTCTAGTCTCAGGAATATTAGAGGGCCCCAGGTGACTTGTTAGAGAGCCACTACAGACACAAGGGGTTTATT